AAAAACAAATTTTTAAATTTAAACCTGCTTGACCATGCTTGTCAACATGCTTGACCTTAGAAAAGTCAATTTTTTCCAAATTTGCGTTAACAATGTATTGGGCTTGCTAGTAAAATTTATGTAGGGGGTTAATAGTGTCGAATTCGAAAATCCTTCGACATTATAGAAAGGTTATGGTGACTGTACACACAGACTATCTTTCAAATTTGCTTGTCACGGCTATAACGGGTGGCCGCTTTCGAAATGGTCTTTTAGGACCGTATTGCAGGACTATGGCGGATGGTACCAAGCTAAAATGTGAGGGACCGACCGCTGCGACTTGGTCAACTTTAACCGATTGTTTTATACGAGTATCATAATTCTTAATGTTTTTCTTCTCTGCTACTGCGGTATTATATTGTCACGTCAGGATGGTATCCCGCCAAGAGTAAGACCTATAAGACGACGGAAGAGCTGAGTGGACAGTTCGGTAGGGGTCGTGTACCACGAATTAAAGATTAGATCTAGGTGACTTATTTACGTTACAAGTCATAAAAAGGTGGCACCTCGAAAAATTATTTCAATCCTTGACCGGCTATAGTTCGATAAATCAAATCAAGCTCAAAAAGTAAACAAAGTGCAGAAAGTTTATTAGACTGTAATTGACAAATAAGTAAATAAAAAATTCAAACCTAAAATTATTAACTTTGTCTATCTTTAGTGAAATAGGTAAGACGAGTTCAGTGACAGGAACAGTGCGAAGTGCCCATATAGATACAGTAACGTCCAATTGAAGGGGAACACTTGAATTTTTGTGTATTTCTGGGAAACGATTTCGAAAAATCAGACATATCTTTTAGGAAATTTCCTTCCCGTTCGAATGGTTAAGGTTTTATCCCGATCGGATACAAAATGGCTGAACGGCAAGGGTCGGAGTCAAATAGTGGTTTTTCGGACTTTTTGAAAAGTGCGAGAACTAGTAGTTCCGGAAGGAAATTCATAATTCTAATTATGGCACGAGAAAGACCATTCTTCGGCAGTCAAAAAACACCTCTATTGAACCCCTGTAGCATCACTCTAGGGGGAGTTACACCCCCTTGAAGTGAAATCACTCAATTGGCCATAACTTCCGAACGTGTCGGCCAATCTGGTCCTGTTTCTGCGTTATATCATCTTTAACGATATTGCATATTTTCAAAAAATTATTATTCTCGGAGATTATCCCGTGACGGAGATCTCGAGATATTGCAAGCGCACCCGAACTTTTCCCGCCATTTTTCATTAGGAATGCGATGAAATAGAAGATTCATATTTATTCCAAGTTGTAATTGAGATCTCAACGATTAGAACGCCCTTTTAAGCATCCAAAAATGAGTTTGCTAAGGGGTTAAATTTTTCATTTGAATAAACGCCTAAATTTTGCGCGTGAAATCTCCCAATTACCGTTTCAATGAAGAATAAAAGAAATGTGAAAAATAAGGAAAACCTTCTTATAAAAATTTCACTTGGATGTTCAGTGCCAGCTTCAATGACTCTCCCGCAGAGCTATGAGAGGTACGGAAGAGGCCTCGGATTTCTTTTTCATGAATTTTTTATAGGAAGGTTTTTCTTATTTTTCACATTTCTTTTATTCTTCATTGAAACGGTAATTGAGAGGTTTAAGAGACAAAACAATAAGAAGAAATAGTAAAAAAATTAACGTGAAAAAAATCATTGAATTAAATAACCAATAAATAAATAAATGAACAAATGCAAAAACAATGCAAAATTAAACAATAGAAAAAAATTATTTTAATTAATAATTTTAAAAAACTTCTAGTATGCTCCATTGTCAGGGCGGCGGAACGTACGGTCCTGAGCGGTTGCCCCGCTACACGTCTCTCCGCACTAAGAGCGGCCCACTACCCCATCACGGGCGCCAAGCGATTGCCCCCCGAGTACCTCGAGCGAAACTCGCAAAATTCAGACGTTTTTTCAAATGAAAAATGTAACCCCTTAGCAAACTCATTTTTGGATGTTTAAAAGTGCGTTTTAATCATAATTTTGTGAGAACAATAATTTTTTGAGGATCTGCAGTATTGGTGAAAATGATATCACGCAGAAACAGGACCAGATTGACCGGCTCGTTCGGAAGTTATGGCCAATTAAGTGTTTTCACTTCAAGGGGGGTGTAACTCCCCCTAGAGTGATGCTACATGGGGTGGATGGAGGTGTTTTTTGACTGCCAGATGATGCTCTTTCTCGTGCCATAATGACAAATATGAATTTCCTTCCGGAACTACAAGTTCTCGCACTTTTCAAAAAGTCCCAAAGTCCACTATTTCACTCCAACCCCTGCCCTTCAGCCATTTTGTATCCGATCGGAATAAAACCTTAACCATTCGAACGGGAAGAAAATTTCTTAAGAAATATGTCTCGTTTTTTGAAATCGCTCATAGTTTCCCAGAAATCCACAAAAATTCAAGTGTTCCGCTTCAATTACACGTCACTGTATATAGAATGACAAGGAGCTATTATCGTGAAACCATCAACGAGTTAAGGACAATAAGAATATCGCAAAGAATTGTTAAAGAATTATTAATGGCACAATAAAAAAATAAAACATTAAAGTCCATGCTAACGAACTCTGTCCAACCGTTGGTCTCCTTCAGCATCGTGTAACGGAGACGTGAAGGAAGTAATAAATAGGGTATGAAGGATTGATTAAAAAGAAATAACAATAACAACAATAATAAAGTCGGAATACCTGAAAAATAATACGACGACCATCCATGGGAAATCCGATAGCAGAATTCGCAATAATTAATTGCGCCAAGGTATGGTCGAGCGAGGAATGAAATAATGTAAAGTCCAATTGGCCGTTCGATTCTCGCAGATGTCTGCGGGACGCACTGCTGTTATTATTATTCGCCAAAGAACCAATCGAACGCGAAATACGAAGATGCAAAATCGCAACAGAGGCAACGGCGGGCAGACTGTACTATTTTCGTAACTAGCTATTTATTACGAACGGGGGGGACACGTGCTCAAACGATTCCAACCAGGAACGCATACGAGTGTACAATACCGTGCCGCTGGCAATACCTATTTTTGAGTTCGTTTCCACCTACGCGTGCTGCTAGAGTCATTGATCACTCATTGATACGTTCCTGAGAGCGACGTGAAAAAGTGACGCAAAAGAGAAAACAAAAATGGGATGAAAATAATAAAAACATTTTTATAAAATTCCTTACGACTACCGCGTCATTTCTATTTGCAATTTTGAAAAACATTTTTCTACATTTCTTTTACCCACCAAGTATTTGTTTTTCCAAATAATTTAATCGCGTTAATTAGCCAAGTCCATTAATTGGACAGATACATTTGCCCGGTATTGTTGTTCCCCGTTTGACTATACGTAAACACAACGAACGTCAAGTACAAATCAGCTCCGCGCGCGATTGGCGCTGGGATACTTAACAGTAACACAAAAATGGAACACCCTGTAGATCGAAGGTACGTACGAGTGTCTGTAGGAGACTAGAGCTGAATTAATATTCGAGCTCGGTTAAACGAGTTTATCCGTAACGAGAGCAATTGTTTTCAAGATACTTCAATTTCACCGATTCCCTCGATTATACTTTTCCTCGACCTTCCGTTTTCTTCTAGCAAAAAAAGGGCAAGAAAAATAATAGGGAAAAATTCAACGAAAAATGCACCAACTGCGACATAACCTTACGAACGGGCAACACAAGCCGTCGTCCGGGAGTGTACATGGTTTAACGTTACAATTTCGCTGGAAGTGAATGACCGTAATAGGATGCGTTCAACCGAGTAGATATATGCGTTTAGCGCATACATTAAGTACAACTCTGAAAGGTCCTGTAGGCACGTATCAGTGTCGTACTGATATCAGTAAAGATACAGATGTTGGTCGCGAGAGGAATTAGTCGATGAAGATAATTAATTCGAGTTCATTAAAAAAAAAGGCAGATTAAAAACAAGAAGAGAAAAAATATATTTTTTTATTCATTGCTCGTCTCTGTCTCCCTCTCCGCAGCGCAATGAGAATGACGGAAGAGAGAAAAATAAGACTGTCGCATCGCCGAACGCCAAAGTTACGGCGTAGACTGCGAACTGTAAACATCCGTCTGACTAGTGGCAGGACGTAGCATTTTTTCAAGTATTACCCCTGCAGCTGATCGCGACGCCTGACCTCAACTCGCCGAGCAAACTGGGCACCTTTAGGTGAACGCACAAGGCAAAAGGTATAATGATGAGAGGCGAGCCGTCGGTGTCGTGTTGCGGCCTATTATGATTCCGAATAAATCAGGCGAAGGAGGGTAACACGAGAGGCTCTGCCTTCCTCTATAGGTGCACATATTTATATATAGACACGGTGTATACTGTCTCGTTCCCGTGGGCAGCATCTGAGCCATAACCCAAAGGAGGATCCACAGGGTGCCACGGGGAACCCCCGCGAACGTCATTATATATACCTAGTTTGGAATACTGTCTGCATTATGGATACGCCATTTTTGTAGGAGCTACACTGTCTGTGTATATATATGTATATATTTAATGGGATATATTTGAATAATGCAGAGTCTAATAATATAATGGCTTAATATCAAGAGAAATTCTTTAAGAGGGTATAAAACAATTAAAATTTTGGCCTCGCTCCCGCCGGATTTACACCTCTTGAGCCATGCTCGTATCCTTTCCATTCCTCTCGGGTGTGCCCTGTAATAGTTTCCGGTTCCCGGCGGGGCTCTCGGTTTAATTCGATTAGTCGCTTCTCGATTTGCCGTCACGCATATCTGAAGTCCTCGAGAATAAAGAGAGCGAGGGAGAGAATAGCTAAAATGGACAAAAAGAATCGCAACGTCAAGAAACGTGGAAAATAATGCTTTTCGAATGAATCGAATAAGTGACAGTTTTTAATTGTTAAGAATTTCCGAGAATCGTCATAAGTTTGTTCTTGGTGGATTTTCATTGTTTAGGTTTTTTTTTTTATAATTAAAAGCAGTTGGGTACTTTACCTTGATCTCATCATCGGGTGCTTCCTTCTTCACCTTTAATGGAAATCCACGACTTCCGACGGCTCCTTGATTCACAGTGGTAACGGATATGTCACCCGGAGGTGATGAACTCTCTGAGGTTACCTTGCCGATCTTCGCCAGTCTCCTGTGAGCGGGACCGGATGTTTTCGGGGTTGGTATCGGATGGGGCCTGCTGCCCATTACGCTCTGTTCAGCATGTCACACTCGCGTCTCCCTCCTCTTGACACACACTCTCCTGTCCAGATGCTCTCGATTGCACTCGCAAAAAACCTTGTTTATTTATTTTCACTTTCTTCGATCACTCTTAGAAATTTTAATATTATGGGGGGACGCTTTATTTTCTTTTATTTATTCTATTTCACCTTCTCTTCAAAGTCCCTCGGAATCAACTAAACCAAGTCCCTTAACGCGACACCACGTCTCACCCAGGAACTGACAGCATCCGGCAGATTCTTGTTATATCATCGTGACAGCACACGAGGAGCACGATAAAGCACAGCCACGCATTATTCCTTCTTCACTGTACACAGACACTCGCGAATTAAATGAATTACCTATTAAATTGTAAACAATCAGATTCTAAATACCAACTGATATATCACTCGATTGCATGCTTTCAGTACGTTCGTATCTCATGCCTGTTATATCACATATTCTTGTACCCAGCTACGATTATTATTTTAGACAAGAAATTTAATAAAAGAAAATAATACTTCGATTGTCTAGCGATCTGCTTGTCCCCCCGTCTTAAGTGTTTACTGTTGGATTACTTAGGTATTTGCCAATTTCAATTATTGCTATGTCTCGCGCAATTCCGACGTTAACTGCGAGACTCATGTAACTCTGAGTGCTAGTCATGAGTTGCTTTAAGCGCGAGGGTTTTGTCGAGCCGTGTTCCTTTCGTCGGCTGGCCGAAGTCGAGCGAAGACCCGCGTAAAAATAACCTGCACAACCGCGCGCGCCACTGGAACTTCGTGAGCGATCGACTCTCTTCGGCAGTGATTCCGATACTGCCGAACACTGCCGAGATACACAAGAATGAGCGACAGTGTCGCCGCCAAGGTGGAGAATACCGAACCTGCAAGCTAAAATAAGTGTCCCCTAGTCGATACGATACCAGTTGCAACTGGGATTTCACGATTATGCATATACATCAATGGAACATTATAAATATCTTGTTAAACAATAATTAGTGCTTTACTTCATATAAATATATAAATCTGCAAAACTCCCTGTTAGTTTTGACGTATGTGATTAATTAAATCTTCTGTCGATATGGAAGTTCGTTCCGTTTCGTTAGCTACATTTCTGTCGTTTCATCAATTCTCAGTGAGACGACGCTGTATGTACTCACCGTAATGTGCTGCCCTCATGTTTAAATGTTGGCTTTTGAAAATACATTTGACAATTCGTGAGAAACAAATTTCACGAATCGTAACGCTTATACTGATTTGGTTATTTATAAATTATTTTATCAATCGATAACTCAATACAACGTGAGATATCGGGATATTCGAGCAGTGCATTGAATTTGTATTTTTCTAATGTTTTCTAAAAGTTTTATTCCTTTTCAGAAATTCCAAATGTTCCCAAGGATATTTCCCAAGCATCGTGTTGTAACTTTGGAAATATTTTTTATTTCATAACCTGTACCTTGATAATTGCATATCGTTGAAAATTCGAAATTTTCATGTATATTCTAAATGTCACCTTTCAAGTTCCGCTACTACTATTATTATTAGTCACGTCGTTTCACTAATTGCCACCAAGTCCGGAGCTAATTACACTCACAGACTTGTCCAACCAAAGAAAAGTCGGTGTCGGGTCGCTCTTAGACAAACACTCGACTAACTCTACACACGACTGAAGAACTCTTTGGTTAGGTTGAATTTTTGGTATTACCATTTTTCAACGTCTCTTTCTGCGCGCATGCCTACAGATTACCGGCATAGATAAAACTTTATTAAAAACAGGTTACAATGGTCTAAAATTACTCCTAACGTACGAGTCCAATATTCCTATTAACTTTTGTATGTACAATAGTTAAACTGTTCAAGTTTTTGAAATATTTTAATATAAAGTAGAAATTTACTCCCATTAACTACTGGTATTAATTCGAACTGGTCTTCCACTTGAGGAATATCTAGGGGATCATTAATATCTCGCGACCTCGTTCTCAATGATTACTCCAATCCGACGTGGACGTGAGCTTTATTTTAATTCACATGAAAAAGTGCGAGCGATCGAATATCCAAAACAATATTATAAACGTATAAACGATGTCATAACGATTGACAATAAATTTCACGTATTTCTATAGGACTAAAAGTGAACGAGTATTAACTCTCGAAAACAATGAAAAATCAATCCATCGAAACGTCCATGTTCAAGAATACCAGTAAGAATCAATTAAAGATCTTAAAAGGAATTCTCCCGCCCTGCCAGATAGACGCGACCTTAATCTAAAGATACAATTGACGTGACCCAATACATTAAGGCGAGCGACAAATTACATGAAAATAAATTCGCTCGGAATGGCTGAACTGAGAAGACTACAGCACAGTCAGATTAATTTAAATTCCAGCAATGTCTCCGTAACCTGAATTCGACACTGTGAGTATCGTTAAGTTACAAATTACAAATTCTTGGACATTTCCGATAAAATAGTATACACGTTTTCTTAACCAGTTAGTTGTGTTTTACGAGTATACTCGCCATGGCACGAAATACTGCCACTTCTCCATGACGAGTAAACTCGTCAAACACAGCTGACTGGTTAAGAACTCTAGTTACTTTGCTATTTTCTCCAACCTTAATCCTAGTACAAATTTAAACGTCAAATCTGACAGCAGCTAAACAACAACAATTGACAATCTTTATCGAACAACTTACGCTATAGGTATAGTGTCCTAGCACCATTACACAATTACCAAAGTACTTCGCATACGAAATTAAATAACAATAACACAGTGGGACGATAAGTGAATTAAATTAATATAAAGCAAAGTAGTCGGCCCACCGCGAGGTAAGTATGGTTAAGCGTAAAAAGAAGAGATGTGTAAATTGCTTTGTGACTTCAATCGCTTGTAAATTCAGCTTCTTCTGTTTCTCTTCACCAAGTTCATTGCGAGCCCGCCCTTAGCCTTGGCGCTCGACTCGTACTTCTTCGATTGACGTTTCCATCCAGAATCCGGTGTTCGTGATTTTCCATTGCATTTGTATTTGGTGCATACACGTCTATTATTCTTGCATACACAAGAATTGCAGTCCAGACGTGTGATCTCACCTTCGCGACATTGGTCCAGGGCTCGACGCAGTCTCGAGGCACATAACGTCGATCGGCAGATTGCCACGTGGCCCTCGGTGCATGTGCAGCTCATACACTCTTCAGCCCATGCGTCGCCGACTATGCAAGGTTTATCTGCAAAAATAATTTAGACTTAGGGGATGTCAGCATTTTTTAGTGTTTTCTATACCGGCCGTGAGTGCGAGAGAGAGGGCCTTATTGGCGCTTACGTACGCGAGAGAAGGACCGATATACTGATTATTAGAATCCGGAGGTCAGGACCTTCTTTTCAGCATGACTCTTTTTATGGCTGTTAGAGGCCGAGATGTGCGCTTCGGGTGCTACGAAGAAACTACGGCGTTCCAAAGAAATACAGTATTGTGTTACATATTTATTTTTTTAAATAACAATTTATATTCCGAGCAATTGAAGTTTTTCGAAAATTAACTGAATTTTAAATCAATCAGTTTCTTTCACAAATCCGTCAGATAATTATTAAATAAATTGAATTTTTTGTAGTCACATCACTTTACTTGTAAACCAACTCTGACTTTCATGATATCTCGGATCATTCAATTTTAGTGTCGTAAAGGTGTATTGGTAATTTGAATGAAGATTATCATTCGGTTCAAGGCCATCGACGTGGCCAACTTTAATCAAATATTTCTTTTATCCGGTTATTATTGATAATTTTTCATAGACTATGATACAGTTCTTTTGATAGAATAATTTCATTGGTTAAATCCGGCTTTTTATATAGTCTTTAGTCTTGATAAATAGGAACGGCCGATCCTCAATTCCCGTGGGAATGATTTCTTTGTGTCGCAAAAGAAGATAGACGGCTTATGGCATACGAAGTGAAAAGAGAGAAGAGAGACTTTCGATTTTTCAAAACCGGTTCCAAGGTATACCGTAGTTACGTCACGTGCAAATAAAAGTCACGGTTGAACGAATTTTTCAATCCTGACCCTACTACTAATTACGTGCATCGATATTATCAAGCGAATGGCGCATGTCGTATTTTTCTGTAATTGAACTTGAAAATTAAAAAAAAAATTTATTTCGTTAGACCCCGATATTTTTATCTACGGCTATTTTCAATTGACGTGCCAAATATAAATGTCCCGTTTCATACTGTTTCCTTCTCTCCTTTCCAATTATCCTCTGCCTCTTTTTCTTCCATACGTCATCCGCAATACCCTTTTGCTACGGAAAAAGTAACTTACGGCGTTCCGAATGAGATTCCTGAGAATCACTCGCGCTTATTTTATTTTTACGCTTTCGATGACTTTGACATGCCAATTGACAGCTACTGTGTATCTATTACAAGAACGTAAACGTAATCGCGGAATGAATTAGATACGGTAATAGAGAGTTGAAAATTTTCAAAATAAATTAAAAAAATTGTATCTCGAAATTTCGCAAAAATTTCGCAAAATTTCACTTACCATGATTAGGCTCGATGGACAATCCTGTAACAAGGGAAACGCAAGTGAACACAATTATTAAAAAAAAATCGATTCTCATGACGGTTATAGTCAATTAATTAATGAAAAAAAAAAATCATTAATCGCACCGCGACACTTTTACACGTCATTGACGACCGTCCTCGCTGACAACGCTATAGCGACTGAGCTGATTATAATAACTAGTGCCTGACTCGGCTATACATATTTCCATCTCGTTTACACTCGTGCCATCTATGATGAAAGTGGAGCAACTGAGTTCGTCGCACTTATGGGACAAGTGTTTCTGCCATGTATAGTCCGGTTCGTGGTAACGATGCGATTAATGTTCTCCGTCTTTGTCGCACTTGCATATTCGCAAATGACATTTTCTCACTTCCACTTACAGGAAGTAGATCTGCCATCTAGATTCAACTTTGCTTCTGGAATGACCAATATGACCTGAGATATGAAAGCATGTCAAAGTGGAAATAAAATGATACTGAGTAATTTTATGATTTTATAGAACGCGAATGGTTAGTAATGTTAAATAAAGATATTGTTGTTATAAAATAAAAATTTTAGTAATTAATTTTTTAATTTTTCACAGAACTTCTCTCAAACATAATAACTCTATTAAAAATTCTTAGTTAATGTAACATTTTTTTTGAGAAAAATACATTTTTGTAATATACGATATACAGGGTATCCAACGAAATAGGAATACTATTATTATATTAAAATCAAATTGTCCGAATGGATTCAGAAAAAAAATCTTACCTGATATATCTATAGTAAAAAAAATAAAAGACCCATAGTAAAATTGCGAAGAAGTATAGCGGATATGAATCGTGAGTAAAATTCTGCTTTGTAGAAATCTTAGCAATTTCCTCTTTAATATCCTATCGCCCGCTTAGAAATACACCTTGATCTGTTGATCGGTGTAATAATAACAATATTAGACACAAGATAGAATACGATTATATACACGATTTGTGAAATAGCAAATATGATAAAATTTTACAATTTTTATTTCCCCATTCAAAATTACCGCCTTTTAGACTTACCGAGGATCAAATAAAACGGGCAAATCCTTCCTGCTGTAGAGTCAATAGGTTTTCATCTGCATTGTAAATGCTTTTGAATTTTTATTCCTTCAAAATCCTCAAGCTTTCTTCCTGCTGCTGGACCGATAATTAATAATCGAATCAATAATAATAATTAATAGATATAAATGGCTCTGACAATAGGCCAAATGGGTAAACGATAATATTCAACTATCCAAGCGTCGGGACGCCTCTGGATTTCCATTGTTTCCCATTGACAGAGCTAGTGTATACTGTTAAAAAAGCGTAGCGACGACACTGCCCTCTACATATATCGATCTGTCTGTACCCCTTTTCATCTTTCACTTAACGAACCGTCACTCGACAAGTCGCACTTCCTACGAGATGCGCCTCCTTCTATGTTGAACTTCGACCTCTCATTTAAATCTTCCTAAAATCAATATAAAAAACTATTAAATGCCACAGAGATATTAAAAATGCACGATCGAGTTTTGTTTTGACAAATGACGTAAATTTGAAATTAATACGGGGCGGTGGTTATCGCGCTTACGTCACCAGACCAACTATCAACCAATCCGTGCAGGCCGTTTTCACGGAATTACTTTTGGTTCGAATCAATTAAAATTTAATCTAAAAAAAAAAGATTCGTCCTCTCATCAATTCTCTATCTTTCCGTATGACCATCGACTATGCACATATATCTGAAATCCTCGTTGAATATTAGATTCATATTTTTGTACCAGTTGCAAATCGAGTTGGTATTTTTTTTCGAATTTTTTTTCTATTTTCATTGATTTTTCAATATTTACCCCAATCGTCACTTTGCGTGCGTAGAATGCCTAAAAATATACCTTGCGTGTTAGACTAATTAATTAATTGTGAAAATTCCAGGTAAACACACTAAAATATTGTATCCAAGTAAAATGATGAAAAAATGTATTTTTTTATTCTGACACTCGATATTATTATTATACCAGTGAAAACATTCCTTAGAAAATAGGGGGGGGGGG